CCTTTAATTGTTCGTTTTTGCTTCTTTCCAGTAATCGATCCCACCTTTGACAGAAGAATCTGTATACCATCTAACGATAATTTATACAGTTCCCTCCGTCTCCATGGTGCCCTCAAGCAGTTAATCACAATATTTCTATGTTTGTTTGTTTTCGGTCTCGTATGCACTAGTTGGATCACATARAAGATACATTCATTTTCGATTCGTTTTCTGCATTATTTTAGCTGGAACTTTGTGTTGTCAATTTCCACAATTGTTGATCCGAATGTTCGTTTAATTACTTTCCATTTTTCATTCCATAGTTTTCCAGCTGTGAAGTAAATCATTGCTTTYGGTTGAAGTATTGATGTTACCTTCGTAGTGTAACCCGATCGAACCGATTTAAACAAAACAGGTATATTCTGATTCACCTCATTGTTTCCATTCTTCTTCCTCTTTTTCCTTCTTCGTCTTCGGTTTTTCCGAGTCTTTCTGTCTTTTTCCCTTGTATTCAAGAATGGATTCAGTCTCCTAATCAGTGTTGCTTCCATCCCTATCACCTCTGATCTCACTCCCGTCCAAATGGGTATCAGAACATATTTCTCCTAACCAAATTTGTGCAGCCAACTGTATAGTTTCCGATGTGCTCCTCTATTTGGATTCTTGGCCAAGTTTATGTRTTCAGTCCATCTCTTATCGGGCTGTCTTCATGTCCTTCCCATGTACATATGTCTACACCAAGGTGAAACTCCCTGTACTAACTAGTTGCTCAATTCTCGTTGATAGCCTGTGTATCTGCTCCCACTTCAGTGTCGTGGTCAGGTCGCCTGATGCTAAGGTATCTTCTACCTTCCCGACAGATCTTCGGCGCTCGAAGATGTGTCGGATGAGTCATACTCATCACTCCTGCTTGATCTTGTACTAAGGCTCTCGTAATCATCCTCACTTGTGTCGCCGCCAGTTGTATTTGACACTCTGATGTTATCTGGATCTGGCATGATCTGTGTTTCAATATCAGAATCCCGGTTGAAGTCCCTCCCCTTGTAGGCGATCAATCCAGGAACTTGCCTCAATGCCGAGATCGCTTGCGGCTTATCCTTGTACCTGATGTCATGCATCTTGCATAAGACCTTCAGGTCCGTGTAGTGAAGACGAAGGAGCTGTATGTCCGTCATCGGTTCGACCCCGAAATTAATGCTTCGTTTTGCCTTCGACTTCGCTGCCGACACGTTGCGATTAATCTTCATTCGTCCTCTCTTGGGGTGTGGAGGGATTACGCGTCCCAATCTGCTTTTGTTCGGTGCGCTTCAGGTTGTTGACCTCCTTCTGCACTTCCGATACCATCCTTTCTACTTTATCTTCTGCCTCTGCATTCTTTTGACCGGTTGCGCTTGGACCAGCTTGATTCTGTCCCCCTTGGTTCATCTCTGTCGGCTTAAGTGTTTCATCAATGATGAACTTGAGCGCGTCCGGAGTTAGCTCAGGCTTCTTTGCAGTGTCTTCCTTGTTCGGAGGAGCTGGCTGCTTTTCACTTGTCTTTCGTGTGAGTTGCTCCAGTGTCTTGAGAACTTTGTCCATCTCCTGGCGGAGCTTAAAGATTTCTTCCTTTAGATCCGCCGTAAACCACGCTCGATTTCCCGGTGGGGGGAAATCATTCCGTCTTTGCTCCCACAATGGTCTCGAGAACCACCTTGGAGATTCTGACTCCGTCCTTCTTCTCCGTGACGATGGTGAGTTGATCGTCTTCAGTACACACCAGATAAGTAAAATAGAATCTCCAAAAATCGCTGAGTAATCTCCACGCTATAGTAATCTCCAACAAATCACCACTATGATATCATGAAAGAAAAGGGTTACGAATGATGAGAGAGAGATA